CTTTGTGCTTTTGCACTGGTTGATCCAGCTGCAGAATTGCAGCGAAAGATTACTCATGTTGTTTATGCGGAAAGTGAATGATGAATGGACGGATTGGTAGATGGATATATACAAAAGTAACTTGCTCGTCTTCAGCCGGATTGTGCAAGAGCGCCAAGAAACCGGGCGCAGTGCTGTACAACTGCTTGTGACTCAGCTGATCATGAAGGCACAAAACTGTTGGTATCCCATACAAACAATTGGCTCCTGAATACAGCCCGCTAAGCGAAGATAGAGGGTATTCGAACGTGCTCGTCACCGCTGTACACTCACGCACGCGTCCAGAAGTTTCTCGGCCCCGCATCGTACTACCAAAACTTCAGTCCCGGATTCCCTCGCATCCTTGCCCTTCGAACCTATTCAAACAAGTGATTGCAGTGGCACAGCATCTGGAAAGATGACCTCTTATGATGCCAATAATCCTGAAAAGGACCAAATAATTGCTTGCTGCCTACAATTTTTATGGAAAGATAGCTGTTTCCGGGGTGAGAAAGGTAACTCGATGCGAGCTGGTGGGGAATAAAGAGGTGTCGAGATCACCTATATAGCAGGCGCTTCACCGTTCAAGCCAATCATCAGTCCCTGCGCACCCGATGAAGAGTTGTCCAGACTGACAATGGATGAGTGGTTTGGTTGCTTTGCCGGCTCACGCAGTACGACTTCACGGTCAAGAATATCAAGGGTATTACTACCGTGGCGAATGCATTCTCGCGAAACCCACAGTATCCGGCGCTGCGTTCTGCAGCCGCGCCTTTCTGCGATGGTTCCTGATTCCTTTCTAAACTGTTTTCTTATTACTCCTTAGATACTCACGCTGCAGCGGTGCTCGCTAAGTTCAACAACGGGTGGCACGTTAAGCGCTAACGCATAGACGCCGGTATCTTGTGGCATACGACTAAGCGTGGACTGATTATGCTTTCTTGCGTTCCGCCGCACAGAGTTTCAACTGCTCGTGCATCGCAGCGCGCATTTCGTCTGGACGGTTGGCAAAGGAGGGAGCATTGTTCATGAGTTGTTTTCGCTGGGAAAAAAATTTCTCCTCGATTGGATGAGGATATTGCGCTTGTTCTATTCCGAGGAAGCACCCAACCGTCGGTCGTCGGGCGGCTCCTTACTGGAGGACAAACCCTGATCAGTCTCCATTATGGGAAAAAAGGAAAGGGGAGTAACTTTCGACAAATAATGTGTGGTGAATACATTTGGAGAGTGTCTTCGCTACTAATCTGTCCTACACACCAAGCCGCCCAGCTGCAGTGAGTGCGATTCGCTGCCCTCGGCAGGGCGATGGAGATGCGGTCTCGCGTTACAAGGGTCAATCCTCGTTGCTGAGGAACATCACGAGGTGCGATGGAATCAAAGAGAACAAGGGCTCCCGGAAGGAGCAGCATACCTCTTCTGTCCGCAGGCGCCCTGGGTACGGCGAACCAAGGGGCCTGCAATTAGCTGCAAAACGCAACTTGCCACAAATACTGTTGCAAGGAGAACACGCATACAAGCACGACCAAGCCGGCGTTTCTGCATGCACTGACACTGTAGACAGATGTTAAACACGGCCAGCATGCACGCGTCTATGAACACATCTCACAACTGGAGAGAAACCACGCTACATTTGCCGGTTTGGCCCGCAAGTGATCACGAGCCTGCCTGATATGGGGTGTGCATTCTCTGACCCGCACTGTTGAAGGGAGAGGGTAGAGTAACCGCACGCTTTTTTCCGTATTGAAGAGAAAAAACTGAGTCATGTGGTCAAGCATCCCGCATTATCCTGTGAACTTTATTTAGTTCTATAGTGACGCCGTAGTTGCAGGAGGTTCTACTTTGAAATGGAATCTTATTCGTTTTGGTTTAGCTGAGCATTGGTTAGCAGGGGAAGTGAGTGAAGTAGCCGCGAAGGCAGATATCAAGGAAAAGCAAGCAAGCCGCTACTTGCAGCTGAAGCTGGGGGTGATAGCGTGGGCGAGGATAGAGGCTGGGGCTTGAGACACAGGGGGGGTTCAAGGGAGTTCAGGGATCAGCCTGCAGAATCATGAGCCCAATTTCCGATGGCTTCAAGAAGCACGGTAGGACTGGAAGCTCTTGACTCCAATCCTTCTGGCTTTCTTCAGCGTTCATGAAGGCCATCTCTAGCGTTTCCTTGCCCCCCTGGTCAGGATGAGGGCTCTGTCCTCATATTGCAACATAAATTTTCCTTTAATCGTGATTTTTACCGGCGCTGTATTCAGAGTTACCGAATACGGCAACGATGTTTCGGAATTTGTGACCCTTTTGCAGCTCAAGTTTTTAAAAGCTACAGACGTAGACATCAACAAGTCACGCCTCCTATATTTTGTAGCCTTCATGCCCTCGTAAGGTGTAAGAACAAGTTGAAGTTCTTACATCACCACAGAAAAAGATAAAGTAAATAGAAACAGGTTGAAATTGCTACACATCGCAAACAAGGAGAGCAATGCATAAGTGTAGGTTGTAACTGAAAGAGCATCTTGAATATCTGCGTTATACGAGCAACAACAGAATCTAACAAATCCAATAGCTGCTCTTACAGGGCTAGCAATCGTAACGAAGAAACTCAATATCTAGTAATTGCAGAAACCTTCATATATAAGCGTATCGTTTCACGCATGTTGAGTGCTGAGGCTGCTGCGGAGCGCGCCGCAGATATGTTTACAGTTGTGAAGGTCAAGCAAGCATTCCAGTTATCTAAAATTAAGCAGGAAACCGCTACAAAAGAGACGATAAAAAAGAGGCGTACAAATGCTGTCTTCGTTACTTGGAGAATTTATAATAAAATTAAACAATTTGGTTCTCAGTAAATGGTGAAATGATGAAGTGAGAAAAGCCGCACTGCGGCGCTCTCGATGAGGTTGGGTGTGGAGAAATGTATGAAACAAAACACATAAAAGAATTGGCGGAAACAACTAAAAAGAGAGGAGCATTTGAAATAGTTATAAAAAAGCATGGGGAATGAAAAAAATGTACTTGCGGCCAACACTCTGACCGCTGCTAAAAAATATGATGCAAGAAAGAGTTTGTTGCTGTGCTCCTCTTCCATTCTATGCACCTCTGTTGTTTACCTGCCTGTTTCGATCTTAATGATGTGCAGCCTCTTTCTGTTTCCTTGGTTGATAGACTGGACAGATACAGTTATTTATCAAGGTTCTTTGCCTTGTTCTTGTGATACCTCTACATCAGCTGTTTGCCGCGTAGCCGTTCGGCTTGTGTGGCAGCATGATTATATTTTTATACATTTGTATTCACTACTTTATATTCAGCTGCAGCATCAATACTCTTGGCCTGTTTGTACCTAGAAAACTGCATTGGTCTACCCAAGTATTCCAAGTTTTTCGTTATGTGTGCATCTTCGCTACTTGCTTGATCACTGCCAGCCCTCTCTAACTGAAACCTTCTTCTCTTCTCGCTTGCCCTCGCTTTGTGCTGAGTTACGTTTTGGGGCGCTTGCTCTCTGTCCCGTGCTGCAACACACAAGAACAAATAAACAAACACACTATTCTAGTACTGCGAGCATCAATTAGTAGACAACCTGAATACGGCCGTCTTGTAAATATACTAGAAAGTGAAGAAGCAGAGTACCTTCTGGCTACATATGTAAAAGCATGTGAAACGCTAACAGTATCTGCTGTAATGCAGTTGCAAATCCTACTATTTTAATTTTCATTCTACAAGTTTGATTTATAACCTAGTTGAGCTGTCTATGGAGTTTAAACACCTCCGTAGGTAGAGTGCATCGCAAGCTATGATCGAATCAGCGACTTTCAGTTAACAGTCAACAACTTGAGGGGCCCTATTAGCTTACAGTCTCTTATGAAGGAAAAAGCCTCCTATGGCTAACACCAAGACGCCGGCAATGCAGGCAAGGGAAATTGCAGCAATTTTTACTCCACTCCACCCCTCACCTGCACAACAAACGAGCAAACCGCAATAGCAAATAGACTCTTACCCCGTCGTGCAACTTCAGTAACTTTTATTCTCTTGTGAAAGAGGTGAGACAGAGGCTAAGGGTGACACAAAGGCCAAAAGGAAGCAACAACAATGCAGCAACATCCACGCGGAAGACAACGTGAAACCAGCAAAAAGGAGAGAAACCAATATCAAAAACCCAATAGCAGCCGCGTGACAACACCTTACTCTCAATGTCTCCAGTATAGCCAAGCTGAACAGCACAGAGCGGTGTTTGATGGTCTCTCTCCTTCGCATAGCTGCTGAAGGCTTCTGCTGCTGCAGCATCAGTTGGACTGTTTGTCCCTGGTGTTACGCTGCTGTTCAGCACGATAGGGATCAACTCAGAGCCCAACAGCACGCCATCCTTGCTGTACACCTCAACCTTTATGTCAGCACTGTAGAAAGCAACCACAGAAACAGCTGGGAGGTTGGCTTGGCTGGGATTTACCCGCATGTGGTTCCGTGGGTGTACACAACAGCATGGCATCTGAACTAAGGAGAGTCAACATTCTATATATATATATATATATATATATATATATATATATATATATATATATATATATATATATATA